AAGGTGCATAAACGAAACTTGGGTAATTTTGTCCTCGAGAGGCTATTGATTTGGTTCAAGGTGAGTTTATGGTGTTGTTATTGCCATTGCGAGTGTTTTCATGCACGCTGTTAGAATGGTATTTCTGATTCAAGGTTTATATAAAGATTGAAAAGCAATAGGTAGTCTTTTTTCACCCAGTGAGCGGCCTACAGTCCATACATAGGCAGCATTTTAAGGCATCATTATGCTGTCGTGGATTTACTTAAAGGGATACTCCATGTTTTTTTGTTTTTTTGGAAATTTGCCTCATTTTACAACTCCCCCAGAGTTAAACTGTTGAATCCATTCAGTCGATGTCCGGTGTCCTGACTTGCCGTTGGTTTGAGTTTAATGTGAGACCAAATATTCACTGTAAGGTTCAAATGTGGAGTCTGATCAGGTCAGAATAAGCTTGATTGACTTGATCTTTGGGCTGATCATTCCTCGATAACAACTTTCCCTCTGTAGGAAGCCATTCTGCAATATTCTCCTCTACTGCAAAGCATTAAATGACTTTCCACAGTGAAGTAGCTCACCAACACCAGCAGTTAACAATGACACTCTTCCTTCGGGCTTCACTGTGATAGAGATGCATTTATTATTATATTTATCACCATGTCTTCTAGACACCACTCTGGAGCATCACCAACTCGTGCTTCATTGTGATTCATTGCTGCACACAACTTTGCTGAACCACTCTGAAGTAGTGTGTTTGCTTAAATGTTGCTAATTTCCTGACCAATGATTTGTGGTCAAGAAGATTAAAAGCTTTGCCTTTAAAAGGTATCACAATATGCTAACACCAAACTAGAGCCAATATTATCGGCCGATATTTGGCATTTTCCAAAATATCGGTATCGGCAGTTATAATGGCCGACAAATGAATATTTCAAAAATAAAAACGGACGAAACACGCTTCAATCATCTCTCCTTGGCCTGTTATATTGAAAATGTATGTTTTACAATTTGCAGATGATGTTATCTATTGCTAAATTATAGCTCATCATAGACTAGCTAACCACAAAGCTAGCTAATGCCACTATCATCAGTGGAAGACCGCTAACGTTAACATTAATGAGCTTGGAAACCACAATGAACTTTGTCTGCCTAAATAAAGTACTGATTACTGTATTTATAACTAGCATATCTCTAGTTACAGTCCCTGCATTGTAAAATGTAAGTTAGACTTGCGAGGAGTGAACATTTAGACCTAGAGAAAAAGTATCAAACGTATCTTGTGCATTTACACGTGTGTGAAATCCAACAACGCCAAGCGTGCGTTGCGGTCTGTCGTTCTGTAATGGATTTAGATTAGAATCGCTAAATAGTAGGTTTTAGGAGGCAGGCAGCAACTGATGATTGAAAATGGTTTGATGTAGCTTGATGGACAGAATTTAAAAAGTGCAGGTAAAGGGATAAGCAAGCTGATATTGTAATTATAAGGTAGCTTATAAGGCAATGTAGGGACTAATTATTATTTTATTTATCAGAACTTTAATATATTTTGATTTTCCTCTGTTGTGTTGTGACAATAAAGGAAACGTTTATTTTTAAAATGCTTTATCATATATTATTTTAGTTAAAACAAATAAATATGTTAGGAAAATCTGTTAATGTTTTGTTGCACGTTTCTGAAAAAAAAATAATAATAAAATATTGGCCGATATATCGGAATATCGGATTTTAAAACCCCAAAATATTTGTATCGGTATCGGCCTTCAAAATCCTTTATTGGTCGGGCTCTACACCAAACTGAAATAAATTGTGAGTCGAGTTTCCAGTGCACTTCATATTTGACGTGTGTAGCGTTCCAAATCATGCCGTTGGGTCTCCTTTCCTCAGAAGGCAGCTGCCGATGTACACAGTAAACATCAAGTAGTTCACTAGGATTTTGGTCTCAGAGGATGAGTGAAATGCTGAAGGAGAGAGAGAGAGAGGGGTGAAGTCAAACAAACAGGGCATTCCCTCAGACGCTGCCCGCGTTTCGAATCGCTCTGCTGCATATGTGAATAATCTCATGTATATGAGAGCACTTCTTTATAAACCTCCCCCAGTCTCATTTCAGACAGACTCTCGACCCTTCCCCCGTCCCTCTGAGACCCGACTGAGCCACTTTACATTCACTCAGACACACACACAGACCGCTAACAACACAACCGTCTAACCTCACAGAATAATGGCACCTGATAGCCATGCTCAATAGGAGCTGCGGTTTATAAAAGCTTTATTGTATGCCTTCCCAGCAGTCTTTCTGCTCAGTCACAGATTTCTCCATTTTCAACCTTTTTATCCTTGAAAGCAGCGTGTGGCATTGAGTAATTAGGGCAATTGTAGAGAGTGAAACAGTCGTTGTTTGTAAAGATGAGTAGTCTTAATTGTTAGTGGCATTACTGGACTAGCAATATTATTATTGCTTATAACTTGTATTTTATTAACCCCCTGGGGACCAAGGTGTATTTGGGGTCCTTGAGATGTTCTGACATGCCCTGACATTTCAGTTGCTTATAAACATGTTAATGGCACAGGTGAAATTACGCTATATTTAGCACAAACAGGGCTACCATAATATGTGAGCAACATGTATGTACATGTTTGTATTTTTGAGAGATATTAAGTTTCTGAAATAAGGCCACAAGACAAGGTTAAGGCCCGTCCACACTGCTGCGTTTTCGTTTAAAAGCTGAGACCTTTTGCTACGTTTGCACCTCCCGTCCAGACTAAAACGGAAAAAAAATGAAGACCTAAAACGGAGAAGTTTAGAAACGCTGCAGCTCCGTTTTGCGTTTTGAATCTCTGGAGAGCGTTTTAGTGAAGACGGGACAAAACGGAGGAGTTTGGAAACACTGATGCAGAGGCTCACGCTCGGCTCTATGATTGGGTGTCATCAGTCATGACGTGTCTTTCCCTGATTCGTCAGCCACCTATCACATGACCTGTTTCTTGTTACACCGGCACACACATGCCCAGTGTTGGTGAATGGTCACGTGATCCGCGTTTTCAGTCGTTTTAATGTGGACGGAGATCAATTCTAATACGCAGATAAAATGCAGTAGTGTGGACGGGGCCTAAAACTGCTCAGTTAATTTTATATAAACATTTAAATAAAAAATGTTTTACAATTTTAAGCTACACAATGGATGAGGACAATCTCTTAAACTTACACTGAAGGAGTGACCAAGACCAGAATATCATTAAGGCCTGATTTTATTTATTTTGTATAATTTTTTTACAGTTCTGTGCTTTTTTGTTGGACTGCTCAATTTGTTCAAAAAAAAAATAATGTGTGATTGTATTATTAATATTACTATTATTATGCTATAATTATTTATTATTATTAACAATAAGTACAATTTCCTGGAGGAAAATAAATTACTGTTTTAATAATATGTTTTCACTGTAATATATATATATATATATAATTGGTTTAAGACATAAGCATTGTCATTTATTATATATATATAATTTGTAATTTATTATATATATATATATATATATATATATATAAAATAAATTACAATGCTTATGTCTTAAATTCTTTATATTCAAACCTTAAAACCAAGCTTTTCATTACAAATATGTAGGAAAGGTGAAATGGCGAAACACTGAGAAATCATGGATCATGAGCTGCTTTTGCGCTTCACTCGTTTCTTTAATGAAATCGCAGCCTTTGTGGTTTGATATTTACAATGACTAAGCCATTATGTGTTCCAATATTATATGGATTTCTCTATAGCAATGCACTGAAAACAACTCCCGAGAACTGCATAGAAACACTACCCTCAACACTGTCACGATGAGCAAGTTTTATACAGACAAGCGGCACTCTCAAAATTTCTAGTTTTGCATAAAAATTCTGTTTGTCTTTTTATACTTTCCCACAGCAGTCTATCGATTCTGTGTAAGAACGACGAGCAAAATCTAGTCAGAGATGAAAATCAATGCATTTTTTTAATCCTCGTTGAGATGGCGCCCAGACGAGCATGCAACATTGTATAATTAGGGCAATTGTAGAGACGTGAGCGAGACAGACTGAGAGAGAGTGAGAGAGAGAGACATTGTTTGTAAGATGAGGAGTAATTTCTTCTTGTTTGTTTGATTGCTGTTGTCATCGGGTGATTAGTTTGCACTTTCTTCAGGTTGTATTGTGTTTGTGAAACAGGAGAATAAGTGAACAAATCTCAGAGCATCTTTCCTCCAGCTCAGAGCTGAATAAACCAACCCTACATTAGACCGCTATTAATATAACACATCTCCAAGCCCAGAACACTCGCTGCTTTTAAGCACTGAAGAACCACTGAAGAACCCCAGGCTCTCGCTTTGATCTCATAAGCTCATTTATGAGAATCTGCAATATATCATTCATTCTGATATTATCTGAATATGGGACAAAGTGTTGCTTTTTTTCAGAATTTTTATTGTATCGTTGTTCAAAATCAATTATTAAGGCTCAGCTTAGTAAAGCTAGAGTTATGTGAGTCAATGAAAAATGCAATAGTTTATGTGTGCATTAATGTATTTCTAAGGCCGTGGAATGGTTTGAATAGTCTGTGTTGTAGTTCTGTATATAATACATCGCTATCTGACTGAAAAGTGTTTACTGTGTGCCTGTTTTGTATAGAGCAGCGAGCAGAGAAAATATCTCTAGCTCTTTTGAATGAGAGAAAAGAAAAAAGAAGGCTTAGATAAAGGAGGACAAAATATGAATATATTGAAGCAGCGATAGAAAGATTTGATTACTAGCCAACCCTAACACCGGGCCAGTAAATGCAAGCACATTTACCCCCTGCCTAATGCACACTTTCATCTGAAGGGCTGGAGAGAGAAAAAATGCTCTTTCTGTTGTGAAACTGTAATGAAAATGTGAAATTCAGCATCCATTTCTGCGGTTTTATAAAGATGCCCCTTTCGAGGTAGATGAGACAGGGCTGTCGCTGTTGCGTTCTGGGAAAATAACACCGGTCATTTTGATGTTTCTCCAGATCGAGTCACCACAGTGAAGACCGACATCTACGTCACCAGTTTTGGCCCTGTTTCAGACACCGATATGGTGAGTGGAATTCATTATTGTGCATTTGTTTGTCAGAAGCGGATGAATAGCATCACTGTCAGCCTTTTGGACCAGCACTTCGCAGATTTGTCGAGCCAAGAACCACCTACCTAGACATAAAGAGACCACCTGGCACAACCACAGATTGTTTACCTGTATATGGGGCTTGTGAATCTGAAATGATTTACAGTACATAGACTAGCGTTCTAATGTTTGGGGTCAGAAAGATTTTGTAACGCCTCTTCTGCTGACCAAGGCTGCGTTTATTTCATCAAAAAATACATTAAAAATATTAAATTAAATTTGTATACGTTAAATATTATTCCGATTTAATAAACCTATTTTTTAATTTGAATACATTTTTAAATGTAATTTATTCCTGTGATTCAAAGCTGAATTTCCAGCATCATTACTCCAGTCTTCAGTGTCACATGATCCTTCAGAAATCATTCTAACATGCTGATTTGCTGCTCAAGAAACATTTCTGATTATTATCAACGTTAAAGGGCTCCTAGTATGCTTTCACACCTTTTCAACTTTAGTTAGTGTGTAATGTGTTCACTTTTGTGTGTAAAAGTAGTGTTCACTTTTAAAAATAACTTTTGCTGATAATTTACTCACCCCCATGTCATTCAAGATTCAGACGTCTATCTTTCTTCAGTCGAAAAGAAATGAAGGTTTTTGAGGATTATCTCCATATAATGGACTTTACTGGGAACCAAATGGTTCAAGGTCCAAAAGACAGTTTCAGTTCAGCTTCAAAGGCCATAAAACGACACCAGATGATGATTAAGGGTCTTATCAAGCGAAACGATCGGTCATTTAAAAAATAAATTAAAAAGTTTAAGTTTTATACACTCTAAAAAATGCTGGGTTGTTTTAACCCAACTTTGGGTCAAATATGGACTAACCCAGCCGTTGGGTTAAATTTTTACATTACATTTTTAACCCAACATTTCGGGTTTGTCCATATTTGACCCAAAATTGGGTTCAAACAACCCAGCATTTTTTAGAGTGTAAGCTCAAATGCTCGCCTTGCTCTGTTCCGTGATGCACGTTCGTGGCTCTCCTGTTCAAACTCGTTCATCAAAATGAACACTCTAAAAAATGCTGGGTTGTTTTAACCCAATTTTGGGTCAAATATGGACAAACCCGAAATGTTGGGTTAAAAATATAATGTAAAAATTTAACCCAACGGCTGGGTTAGTCCATATTTGACCCAAAGGTGGGTTAAAACAACCCAGCATTTTTTAGAGTGAACGAATCTTATTTCGAGTGATTCAACGAATGAAATGACTCATAAAAAGATTCGTTCATTTTGATGAACGAGTTCGATCAGGAGAGTCGAGCAAGGCGAGCATGTGTGCTTCAATGTGTGTTCAAATGGTTAAAATGAGTGAACTTAAATCTGTGTGGTCAGAATTTCCATTTAGAAAAAAGTGAAAAGAAAGAGCCTTAAATTAGCTAATCTATGGGCTGTGACACCATGCAATTATATTTAGTAATTCAATGAAAAAATAATAATAATAAATGATTGAAATGATTAGGAGCCAGCCACTGAGATTGGAGCTTATTTGTATGCCTCAGACCATCTGAGGTTTAGCCTGCTTTATGTCTAGCGATGACTCATAATCGAGCTCAAACAGTAGAGCATGGCCAGGTCGTGGGTTTGATTTCCAGAGAATGCACCTTGAATGCAGTGCAAGTCTCTTTGCATGAAAGCACCTGCCAAATACATAAATGTGAATTTATATTATGTTATCTAACTATTGCCTACAGATGGGCGCCACAGGTGTCCTTTTTTGAACAGTGCCACTGCTAATGCATTTATATACCCACACATATCAATCTGTGACAGCGAGCTCTGTTTTGGTCAGTGCTCAATAACCAGTGGTCCATGGTGACCCGGATGAGTTTCATATCCGACGGAGGCAGGAAATGAAAGGCTTTGTCACCTGACTGCATCCGTGACTCTGCTGACTCACACCGTCGCTCTGACCCTTCTCAATGGATTCAGAGCTTGTTAATGGAGTTTTTGTTCTGAGAAGAAAAGATATGACTCATGTAAGCTGCGTTGAATATGAAGCACGTTAGCTGTGTGCTAACAATGCGCTCTGATTGTTCTTGCACGTGATTGTACGCTACAGCCCACCCTGGAGCTTCAAATGAACTTTAATCGAAAGCCATTACAGTAAATGAACCTTTGATTCAGCTGCAAACAAACTAACAAAGCAAATGAACAATCGACTCTGCACTAGTCTGGCTTGGCTTGCTCATACTGTCCATTGCAGAAATGTACCTGTAAAATATCACAGTAGTGTTTACGTCAGTGATGTAATTCTAATTTTTTATTATTAGGTAGGCTAGGCAATATCCGTAGCAGCTAGCAATAGCAAGTTAGCTATTAGCTATTAGCTAAAGCGAAAACTACATAGGGACGAGCACGTATGACGGCCTTACGTAAACATATCACCAGAATGATTGACACTTAGGTACACTCTTAGAAGAAATGGTTCTATTTAGAACCAGAAATGGTTCCATCCCCCGCTTCATATATGGAACTCCAAAATGGTTCTATATAGAACCATTTTTTTTGGTAAAAGGTTCTATTGACCAAGTATGGAACCCCACGGTTCTATATAGAACCCAGAGGAACCCTTTTTTTAAGAGTGTATAGAACCTTTTAGGGGTTCCAAATACGTAGCACTGATAGAACCTTTTAAGGTTCTATATAGAACCTTTTCTTCTAAGAGTGTGGACCAATAGTATAGGCTACCCACCCGGAAAAAGAAAATCCTCCGCTATGCCTTTAAGGATGGCAGTAGCTGTGATATTTTGTTGGAAACTATAGTAACCGTGGGACATTTGTGTGTGTGCTGTGCGTCCATGTGTCCACTCACCAGTGTCTCAGTGTGAGCGTCTCAACCCTCAAAGCTCCTGTGTCTATGAGATTACTCCCAGATGCTACACCTTCTGCTCCTCGGACCAGAGAGCGCATTCTGCTGTTCCTCTTTCCATTCCTCTTTCTCTCACTTTCTGTCTGCTTCTCCTTCTGCTCATCCACTCTTCCTTCTTGAGTTGTTCAGAGGCAATGTACCACCGTACAGTAGGCGTTCTTCTGTGTTAAACATACAATGCATGGCACTCTGCCTTCACACGTTAGCATGCCGACCTTGTCTCGCAGGAGGGAGAGCATGTCCCAGTCTTTGATATTTTTTTTTTTTCATTTTCAAAGACAAATTGTTCCATTTCTTTGCCTCTCCACATTTCCCCGGGGCTTATCATCCTCCTCTGCCACACCATCCTTCTTCGCCTCTTTTTTCTTTTCAAGTGCTCTGACAGTTAACGGCAATTTTTTTCTGTCCTCGTCTTATGAAATAGATTCCCTCTCTATGCACAGTTAGTCCTTCCTCATTCTGCTCACAAATCTTTGCACTATCAATTATTTAAAAAAAATCATTTTCCCTCACTGAATCATAGCTGTACGCCTTCTTTGTGAATTCAACATGCAAATGCACACATATCAATATCAGATCTGCTCCAAAACCTAGTGACCTGCTTATCTAGACAGTATTTTAATGCAAAGTCTATTCCAAAAAAGGCAATTCCAAAATTCACTGTAAGAAGTTAAAAAAAAAAAAAGTTCATTTTGAATTTTTAAAAGAGTACTTTTTCTTTGTCTTTTGTTGTTTGATTAAAATAAAAAACACAGACAGCGGCAGGAATATTAGGCTGTTGTCACTTTAAGACCTGTACAGGTTCAATATACTGATATTGACATGTGCATTTCTTTCTCCATTGTTTACGTTCATTTACGACATAACTAGGGGTGTACATGTATTCGTATTGAACCGTTTCGGTTCGAGGCTTCCGGTTCGGTACGCATACAAACCGAACGATTGCTTGGATAATTTTTCGCGCGGCCAACACAACGTAGCGAATGAAAGCAGAACGAAACTGCGCTACTCATTATGTGCTTTATGGATCGTTTATCAGTTCGGACCAGCAACATCTGTGCAGCGCGAGCCGATCTCGATCAAGCAACACTGTTACCACACCGCGCTAAGAGATCCGGTAAAGAAAACATTTGAATTCGCCACTGAGGTAATAACATCGCTGCGAGATCTAGTGAGAAGCATTCACATTTCTCCGTTATTAACTGTAGATCTCTATAAGATCAAACAGCGCTGTCATGGAAACCAGGAGAAACATTGTGCCGTGAATGAACTAGCAATACTCTACATCCACAGACCAGCAACATTCACCATGGATTTAGCATAGTAACACAAACTAGAACCAGTTTGCCTGGAATGGTGAAATGCTTTCAAGTACTTCACATCTTTTTCCAGCACTTCAAAATTCAAATATTATATAAATAAATATATATTTAATGTTATTTTTAATGTGATGACGAAAACATTATTTGTTCATCATTCAAAGATGACCGCCATTTATAAACCTGAAATTTCAAGATCTAGGAAAACTCACACTTATTTAAACATATATTTTTTCTTTAAACAAAGCATTTCTTTCTTTTTGCTGTATCGAAAACGTACCGAACCGTGATTTTTGTGTACCGTTACACCCCTAGACATAACTGACTATACGAGGATAGACTTGCCAAGATGGACATTTTGACAATTTTGTTTGAATATGTCTGTTCAAGCGCAAGACGACGTGAAAGAGAGCTCGAGTCAGTTTTCTCGTGCTGTCTTAGACGCTGATTTCGAGCTCTGATGATCGAGTTCAATAAAACATGTAAAAGTTTAATTCTTTAGTTTGTAAATAGCTGGGGAAAAAAGTGACAGTGTCATTTACTTGTTGTTTTGCAATTTCGCTTCAAGCCAGAGGTCATATTGTTATCGTCAAGGGCGTTGAGCTGTTTAGAAAAGCCTGTGGATTTAGTTTTCTGCACTGTGGGTTTACAATGAACGCCTGTCTCTGTCTATGCCCTGTGGCCATGCTAACCCTCATCATTAGAGCTGACCCTGTTGGGAACC